GTTCTGTATATAGCATGTGTTACGACTTAAGAACGTCCTCAGGAACGGAACCCTTTCATAGCCCAGGGACCACCTGTACATATATTTTATTTTTAGCTCAATTAACTACTCTTAATACAGAACAGTACTTTATGTTAATATTAGTTTAAATGTCTAATGAATTGTCTGGGGCTGGTACAGGAAGCTTGAGATGCTTGTGTCAGCACCTTATTATTTTCCAGTGCTGCAAGAAATTACAAGAAAGAAATTTCTTTTCAGATTTTTTTGTGTGTGGAACTTAGTAAATAATGGATTTTTTTTATTGTAGTACAGGTGCTCCTCTACTTACGAACGAGTTACGTTCCTGAGGCTTGTTTGTAAGTCCAACTTTACTCTTATAGATACCAAACATATTGTAAAAAATGAAAAGATTATAGATATTTAGTACAGTTATTCCCTTTAATACAGCCTTAAAACCTGGCTCACTCTTCTCCTCTTAGGTAATGTTTGTTCTATCTGGAATTTTCTTCAAAATAATCCAATCTCATCCAGATTAAACACCTGTTCTGGCAGGTAACCCCCCTCAGTGATGATGTTTGTATCTCTGAAAGTTTGTAAGTTGAACGTTCTTAATAGGTGGCTGCATTTATGAAAAAATACACACCTTACCCTAAAAAAATTCCTACAAAAGGTTTCTCAACTGTTTATTGTAGTATCAGGTGTGCTCAATAACATATCAAAAGTCTGCCAATATTTGCTGCCACTGGGCACTATCTGAAATCTGCATATTTCTATGTCCAAGAAATGTTCCAACTCGAGGCTAGACATCCTGATGTATATGACAAATTTTCTAGGGGTTTCCATGTGATCCGCCGCAGCAACCAGTGCTGGGCAGGCCTTAGCTCTGACCTTGTGATCGAGCAAACACTGATGCGGTCCTTAAAGAGTAGTGGAGGCTTGACTCATGGAAGTGGAATGACTGAAGAAATGTGCGCATTATGGACCATGTCCATACCCATCACATCTGAGTACAACAATGCCATGCAGGAATTCAATGACCTCACCTACACGACCAGCGAGCAACACCGAGAATCAACAGAAGCAAGGATGAAACGAGATCACTCTGACCCGGAAAAGATCAAGGAAAAACTGTCCACATGCATGCCATTTTCTCCAGACCCATCTCTGAGAAACATCATTACTGGTTTAGTTGCCAAAGAGGATGTGAATGTGCATGAGTATGAGACTGTTGGGAATGAGATTATTGAAAAAATGGTTGGAAAACCTGTTTTTGGGATCTCATTCAAACGGAAAGACCGGGCAAAAACCCTCGCATATGAGTCCACCATCAAATTTGCCCAAGGCCGAACCATTGATCCTGCTCTGCTGTTCCAAAGATTTCTGGATCTGTCAAAAACCCAAGACCTTTCACTGGACGATGTAATGAGCTATGAGCTCAGCCCATTCCCTACAGCCCTGTTTGAAGCCAAGGAAATCTTTCGTAAAGCTGACAAGCCCCAACTAGCACATGCAGTTGCTGAGTATTCAAGCAAGAAATCAAAAGAAGCTGTCATGGATTCTATCCCACTAACTGAACATTATGTCCTTGACAGTGGTTCCCTGGTTCATCGCTTGCCATGGAAAAAGGGTGACAGTTATGGTGCCATTGCACGGATGTATGCTGACTTTACCATACGCCGTTATGGAAAAGCAACCGTAGTTTTTGATGGCTGTAGTTTAGGTCCTTCCATCAAAGACATTACGCATCAGCGACGTGGGCAAAACACCCGCCCGATCATCAGCTTCAATGCAAAAACTGAGTTTGTTGGAAGAAAGGATGATTTCCTTTCCAGATCTTGCAACAAACAAGGACTTATTGATCTTGTAACTGAGGAACTGCAGAAGAAGGGCTGCACTGTTATCATTGCATTAGGAGATGCAGACATGGACATTGTCAAGGCTGCAATCAAGGCGTCACAGCATCAGCTCACGACCTTCATAGGGGAGGATACAGACCTGCTCATTCTTCTTCTCTACTATGCTGAAGCAAACAATAGGGGCCTCTATTTTCGTTCGGACAAGTCCACAGTTCCTAAGGTGTACAACATCAGTGAGATGAAACAAGTCCTGGGTAGTGACATGTGTCCTCAGTTGCTGTTTATCCACGCTTTCACAGGATGTGACACAACTTCCCGCATTTTCAGTGTTGGCAAAAAGTCAGCGTTCCAGAAACTTGTGAATGGTGAATTGACCATTCAGACCTGTGCGAATGCGTTTCTGCTCCCAAATCAAGCAAACAGTGTCATAGAGGACCTTGGGAGCAAGGCGATGGCAGTTCTGTTTGGTGGCAAGAGTACCGATTCACTTGCCTCTTTGCGCTACAACCTTTTGATCGAGAAAATTGTCTCCGCCAGGTCATTTGTTACCCCAGAACGTCTCCCTCCTACCAAGTCCTCGACTAAATATCATAGCTTTAGGGTGTATTACCAGATCATGGTGTGGACTGGAAAGGAGAGTGACATGAATGCAGTGGATTGGGGATGGAAACTGGAGGACAATCAGTTTGTGCCAGTTATGACCAAGAAAACTGCTGTGCCAGAAAGCCTCCTGCAGATGGTCCACTGTAATTGCACAACTGCCTGCCGAACACGTTGTTGTTGTTGCAGAGGATACGGACTACCATGCACACCCGCTTGTGGACCATGTGAAATTGAAAACTGTGAGAATCCACATAATCAACCTTTACAGGAGGAAGAGTGTGACTATGACTATTTGTAAACCTGGTTCAGATCAAAGGCATTTTTCAGAAATATATATTATGGGATTTGTTATAACTTTTTACCAGTAATCACTACACTATGTTAAATATGCTAATTGGTTTCCTAGATGCCCAAAACATGGGGTTAGGCACCAAAATTACTTGTCTAGGATGAATAATGAAGGAGTAACAGGCATTTTAAAGATCTGGTGGCTAACTTTGACTCCATCTTGAAAATTAGATCTTTCTTGTGGTCGGACTGTGGTAGACTTTTGATATGTTATTAAGCACACCTGATACTACAATAAACAGTTAAGAAACCTTTTGTGGGAATTTTTTTGGGGTCAAACCGTATTTTCAGCCGACTATACTGTATATCTCGGCCTACAAGGCGATGGGGTGTATAAGACGACACCAAAAATTTTCATTTAAAAAGTAGGTTTTGAGCTCTATTCGCTGTATAAGACCAGTACCCCAAATGTGACACTTACCCTTGGAAGCTTACTGACCCAGTAGTCCTTTACCAACCATCCCATTGACCAGTGCTGTTTACACATCCTTGGTTTTTTAAAATAAGGCCAACTCACTTCAAGTAATGTCATCAAATGTTACCGGTTGGTGTAGTATAAACACTAGTGACGTCACTTAAGTCACTTAAGCGTCTGTTATTTAACTGGAACTATAATGTCGGTGTCGAGTAAAATTTTTCCATTTGCTTGAAATGGATTTACAGATTTATTTGTTTATTTATTTATTTATTTATTTATAATATACTGTAATGTATTAAACACGCTACAAGTATTTTCTTTAATTTATAAACTTGTTTCGCGACAAAGGGAGGCTACCATTATACCTGGTAGGTGAAGTACAGGTAGTTCTGCTATAACGCGATAATTGTGTTCTTGCAAAATATCGTGTTATAGAAAATCGCGTAATAGAAATAACAGGGCTTATGGAGAAAATAGGGTTAGGTGCAGATTACTCGAAATCGAAAATATTTAGTAGTTAGCCTAACACAAAGGATAGCACAGTCTAAATAAATGTTACATTCATATCTAATAATGAAATCATACAGTAAATTTAACACTTTACCTTGAAAAAATATGAATGTAACTTGATGGGGGAGAAGGGTGATTTTGAGGTTGATAACATCGAGCTTCTCTTCAAGTGTTATATCCTTTCTTTTACGATAATCACCGGGAATTCTATCATCAGAACGCTTTTTGGAGATATTCTTCTTTACCATATTCACAGTTAATACCACAAAATTGGAGAAATAGTAAGCAAAAATCGTGTTATAGCAAACAAGCGTTCGCGTTTTACAAATATTGTTCCGAATTCATAAATCGCGTTAGAGCAAATTCGCGTTATCAAAACACGCGTTATAGCAGAACTCACTGTAGACCTGATACATTTATGGTGATCATTAAGGATCAAACTCCGAATCAGTTGACCTGACTTCGTCTTCATCATTCTCATCCTAAATTTACCACTGTCGGTAGTTTCAAGAATTAACCAGTCATTTACTGAACATTCTTTGTAAAAAAATAAATTTTAAATGAATTATTTATAGGGGATAAGTATTATGATCAGTAAGTATACCGATATGCATAACTGACCACCTCGGACACAAAGACGGCTAAAAATAGCCCTACCTCGCCCCTCTTACCCCTCTGGTCACTTTCCCTGTCTTGTCTCGTCACTGGCAATTGGCGGGGGGGGGGGGTGCATGATGATAGCTGTGTTTATTACCGGGGTATATTGTTCTTTTAAGGTATGTTAGACAGGTTTATAATACATTTTTATTATTTTAATATACAGTACCGGTAATCTTATTTTTAATCCTGCTTCCCAAATATAAGTTTCAGTATAAAATAATTAGTGGTAGGACTTTGTGAGTGGTTTACGATGTTTTCCATCACCACTCTTGGCATGCTAAACCACAATGTTTAAGAGGTAAGAATTTTATACCCGGTGCTTAAGACGACCCCTAATTTTGGGCTGATTTTTTTAAGGTTCAAATTTCGTCTTATAGGCCGAGATATACGGTAAGTACTATAAGTACATTGCTTCATGCAATTCATGGTATGTTTTATGTAAAAGTTTACAGGGAAGTTTTAAGTACAGCCTCACCAAACTCGTTGTTTTTAGACTTTGAAACTCTCCCCATTGACAAAAATTCAACATATTGTACTGTAGTGTGTCAGGAAAAGTTTTGAAAGTTAAAACAATTATTTAATATATTGTTTTGTATTTTTTCCAGACCTTCCGGTAATCCTAACGGTACCATGGGAAAAGGTCGTCCTTTAAAAGGTCGACTGGGTCAGCCACTTCAGACAGATCTTGTCATTGAGCCCAAGGTGTGTAATACAGCATGTGAAGTTTTAATGTCTCAGTATAAATTGTATAATGATACTATCTTGATTTAAAATGAAGTTTTAATTGAGAATTCAGCAAAGTTTTAGAAATATTGTATTAGTTTTGTGTTTATAATAGACAAAATATTTTTTAACTTAAATTCTTCTAGGTGGTTGGTGATGCAAGGAACAGAATTATCCAAAAGAAGAGACTCAGATTCCGAGATGCTCGTGACCGCCTCGCAGAAATTGCTAAACAGGGAGATGCCCGGGACAAGATCAACATGATTAGGAAAAAGACCCCACCTGTCAAAGTGAAGAAAGTAAGTTTATTTGTATAACCTACACATATGAAGAATGATTGCTTACCCAAGGCCTTGAGTTTAGGACCTGAAGGCGGCCCCAATTCTGAGTCGTCTAATTAGAGTTAAGATTTTCTTAACCAAGGTCAGGATCAGATGATATGTGGATTCCAGAGTCCCCTGGAATTGCATGATCTCATTGTGCTCATTGATGAAAGGGAATTGTGTGAGATTTTCTGGCTTTCTGAGTTAAGAGTTTGGTGATGAGGTTTCCTTTTTTCATGATAGGGATTCTACTTGCTAGTTTATTTGTGTGACATGTAATCTTAATTAATTTATACTTAGTATGATGGAGAAATATAAGGACAGGACACTTTGTAGATGTGCAGTCAGGGGAGAAAGTGCTGCTTTTGAGTACAGTAGTGGGGCGAACACAAATGTGGTGCTAGGAAGTAAGAGAAGTTTGTATTACATTGTATAATGTTACAAATAAATTAATACTGTACCTGTTTATAATAATGAATGAAGTACTTTAATGGAAGAGAAAATTCAGGTTTGTATTTTCACAGTGGTTGTAACCATCCTTACCCTCTTACTGACCACAATGTCCCTCACAAACAAAAGGTTGGCAGTTTTTGGCCCCTATTCTGTTTTGGATAATCTGATGTTTTCTTAAATTTTCAGGCCTGAAAATTATGAAAATAGACTTTGCAGTGATACGTATCATTATGTTAAAAAAATTGCTAAACAAGTACTGTACCATATTTTATGGCATATAAGATGCACCCCTTATTTCAGCAGGTAGTATTTAGGAAAAAAATGTGTGTATTTTCCTCTTGTAGCCATAGTCTTCTTAAAATATATACAATATACAAGTAAATGTGAGGAATCGATAAAAATAATACCAATAAATGAGTTACAACAAAAAATACTGTACTGTATCGCCAAACCAGTAAATAAAGGCCAAGTGAAGGTTTAATACAATCGCCATTTACCATAGCAACGCAGACCAGAAGGGACAAAACCTATGCTGACTCCCTACTGAGCCAGCTAACTCGTGTTCAAGGAAATGTATACAGTAATCCCTTTATGACAGTTAATTCTTTTACCTTTTTTTCACAATATTTATGGCGGATGATGTGTGCAACTGTTCATGTAACTGAGTAAAAATAAATGAAGAAAGTTAGGTATATCTACCCAAAAATACGAGATGGAAAACAACCATAAAACCTCACAGCCTGGCCCAGTAGCCTGGCAGTTACAGTGACAATTCTAACTTGGCTACAATGCCGCATCGATGTTAACAGATGCAAATGTTAAAATAAATGTATATGTAAATTTTCATTTGTATCTGAAGAGTTGGGTGTCTGCCGTATGAACGTTAATCAACTTGAGTTATCATCATCAGTGCAGTAGTTATAAATCCATCTTTTATATTTACAATAATTATTGCTTTAATTAATTAGAAATAATCATAATAATGTGTTCAAGTAAGCAATACCATATTTTTAATTCTAGAGTTTGGTTAGGTAGAATTTAGCCTACTGGAGACAGCAACTGGGGGATTAATTAGCCTACAGGAAACCACACTTCACTTGTAGGACGCAGCCGATTTTTTTGCCATTTTTCAGACAAGAAAGTTCGTCTTGTATGCCATAAAATACTATAGTTTTTCTTGCTACCAACCTGATTTTAACCAGAGATGATGATTCGTGATTCTAATTTACAGACCCCAGCTACGTGGAAGAACACTGGCCTGGTGGAAAAAAATATCCGAAATGAAAATCGTCCATCGGGTAAGTTCTGGACAAATAGATTAATTTAAGTTATTTTAGATTGACTACAATTTTGTGATCATAAATAACAGCACATTGACCCTTAAGTATTCAAGCTTTTGCAGACACTGTCCTTCACTTATTACATAAATATTTAGGCTTGGGTTAATGATAATGAATTTCCATGACTTTCTTAGTGTTTCAACCCTATCATGTGTACTTGTGCTTGCATTTACTGTACATTGATAAATACAGACAACACCTGCTATTATACAGAAATAATGAAGGTTCTCCACAGATTTAGGAGGCAAGACACGTATGCAGGGATCTTCTTTGGTCCGTACTGTATCTGGTGGAGATAATGGTGCGAAAAATGTCATTGTTCGGGGAAGGCCAAATACCTTTCCAAGAAACCCTCCTTCTAATGGCAGAACACAGTCTTTCTCAAGATCTGGTGATGGCAGTCGATATCATCCACTGCCAAACAATCCACATGTTGTTACAATCAAGAATGACAAGGCTGATCTCTATAACCCTTCATACACCCAAGCACTCAACAGGTACAGTATAACATCAGTGATGGATGTTCATGCTTATATATTAGTTTTCCTTTTGTTTTACAGTTCCCTTTGTCAACTTTCCTTGAAGTCATTTATTCATATAAGGTGAAGTATCACAAAGATGTAGCTACTGTATAACCACTGTCAGCAGTGTTATCAGTTTCTGTACACTGTCCACCACACTAAACAAGCTCCTCATTTTCAAGCTGCCAGCATCTAAGTTACCTTCCACTCATTTAGCAGAGCCATTTATCTTTCCAATTATTGAATGGGATATTTGTATCTTACAGTGTTTATTTATGTCTATCAAAAAGTATATTCTGGGTACTTTGTTAATTTTCTTCGACCAATTTCTCCAGCATTTAAAAGTTTGGTAAATTTGTTGGGAGGGAAACACAGGTTGCCTGCATTTTATTTCTTGTTGTCTCCAACTTCAAAACAAAATGAAAACGTGGCATAGGCTTTCAAAAGTTCTTTAACATATACTCCACATTATTTTCATAAACTTATCTTTGTCAACAAGTGTACCTGTACTGTACATACATTCCCAAGTTACTTAGAACTCCATTCTATTTGTCTTGTACTTAGATGTGGGAAAGATATAACACCACAACTGTCACCTTCACCATTATGCAACTAATAAATGTAATGGATATTTGACTCCATTACTCATTCTAAATATTAACCTAAGCCATTAATTAAATGCCAACTACAGTATAATACAATTTCATGATGAATTTATAGATTGCTTTGCCATAAGTCTCTGAGCTCAAAGTTTTATTGTTCAAAGATACCAAATCATTCATCAATACTTTTCAGCTATTTTCCACTGATATATGAGTTACTCAATATGCAGGAAGTCCCTACAGCCTCAGTCTTTGAGCCTGAATTCACTAGGATGATGACCACACCCTTGCCATTGTTGTAGTCTCTGGAGCAGCCATGTGTGAAACTGATACAAATGTCATGTCATTATGATGGTACAACTCAGGTTTTTTTTCAAACTTGCCTGTCATAATTTAACAGTGTTTGAATGAAGTTGTTTGACTGATTAAATTCAGCTTTAAAAGTTCAGTTCAGATATAAATATTATTATTATTATTGTTATTAATATTATTATTAAAATTACTGTACTGTATTATTGTTATTATTATTATTATTATTGTTATTATTATGATGATGTCATTTAGTGAATTATAGAGCAGACAAACCCCATCAAAGATTTTCCACAAAGGTGTATTTTAAAGTAACGTATTCATTAATAAAGTGTCGTGAAAGTGTTCTCATTTTAAGCTAACTTTAATCATCCATAAAACAGGTGTTGCCAAACAGGACCCAGTGTGCTATATTTCCAAAGTTGTTTGAAAGGCTTGTTTCATCATCATTATATATTTGCTATACTGTTAGAAACTACCATATACAGGAAGTCCCAGGGTTATGTACGAGTTCCATTCCTACAGGTGTTCTTAAATTGTAAATGTACTTAAGTCAAAACACATACCCTATGTGCATACCGTACTTACAGAACAATGTTTAAAATCACACCGTATCATAGCTTATGTCCTTATATACATATAAAACCACTTAATATAAGAGAAAAGAAGAAATAGAATGATAAAAATACAGTAAATGGAAGTAAAAAATAAATCGTGTAAAGGTAATAGGCAGCTATCAAACAGGGAGGTACTGCTGACTTTATGGGACCTCGTATTGGCGGATGTTCGTAAGTAACCCGGGGGTCTCCTGTATAAGTATTTTATATGTTTACAGTACAGTACAATATACTGTACAGTATATCTAATGGACATGACAGTTTTAGGCAGCATGATATGAGGCCTCCAAGGATGAAGTTGACAGCTCGCAGCCCACCCTATAGATCTATGGGACTAACTACAGCACAGCCTCCAATATATGGATTAAGTGGAATGCGATCTGATATTATGGCACGAGCACGGTCACCAGCTTATCGACTCAGAAGGTCACCGGAACCAGAGGAAATACGTCCAACTCGTCTTAAGATCACCACTGCAAATAATTATAGGGTAATCATTCTTGTGTATAGGTTCCTAACTACAGGGTGTCCCAGAAAGATGTACACACAGTGCCTTACAGATTTTCATGGAGATCACATGAATGCTTGTACTGTGTTGCAGCAACACCTTTATTCTCACCTGTGGGAGACCTCACACATCATCAAGTGAGGACAATGTTGCTGTTGTGATTTAAGTATGCACATGATTTCTATGAAAATCTGTAAGGCACTATGTAA